GAAAACACTTAAGCAAGACACAAGGACAGACTTCCAGTTCACCAATGGCAAACAGTAGGGCAAATGAGGATGAAAAGGCCGATAGTGAACCACCAGGACACCCTGAACTCAAAGCACAGGAAGTAACAAAACAGATCAATCAGGCTCTAGAAAAATTCAAAACAGAAATAATTTCCCAGATAACCATAGAGATAGTGAGCAAAATGGAAGTCGTGATTCGAGACTCTAGAGCAGAAACTGACAAAAAAATAGATGAGCTCAGGACCATGATAGAAGCCATGAAGGCCCAGCATAAGAAAGAAATGGAAAAAATAAATGCCCAACATAGGAAAGAAATGGAATCCATAAAACAGATTCTAACAGATATCCAGGAGATTAAACACTCCATAGAAAGTGTACGCAACAGAACAAAAGAACGTGAAGATAGACTCTCAGATATAGAAGATAAGATTGCAGTCAGTGACCATGAAAAGAGAGGTCTCTTAAAAACAGTAAGAGATCATGAGAAATCGATCCAACAACTCCTAGATGATGCAAAGAAGAATAACATAAGACTGATAGGAATCCATGAAGTAGCAGGAGAAAATACAAATGACTTTAAAAAGCTGTTCACAGAATTAAGACAGAAAACTTCCCAAACAGAGGGGAAGAATTTGACATTCTGATAACTGAGGCATATAGGACCCCAACTAGCTACAATCAAAAAAAATCTACACCTAGACATATAATAATCAAGATCCCAGAAACCCAACAGAAGAACGAAATACTACAAGCAGTAAGAGAAACGAAACAAATCACATACAAAGGAAAGCCCATCAGAATCATCAGCCCATCAAAGGAAAGCAGACTTTTCAACACAAACCCTTGGGGCAAGGAGATCCTGGAATGAGATATTTCAAGTACTAAAAGAGAACAACACCTAGACTGATGTATCCAGCAAAACTCTTTTTCAAAATGGATGGGGAAATAAGACACTTCCAGGACAAAGAACACCTGAGAAACTACATGAATACCAAACCAGCACTACAAGCAATTCTAAACAAGATCCTAGAAAAAGACA